GTAATTTTTATTCCTGAATAACATCACATAAAATTAACGCGAACGAGACGTACTATCTATGTAAACCTAGGTGTATAATTTATGTACGACACAGAAAACCAATATTTATTTTTAGTATTAAAGTATTTTTACTTGTTGATCCGGTTTTTAAAATGGTAGATTTATTTTGTATCGTTTTGTGTTCGAAGCCGCACTATTTTAAATTTCTATATTATTCTGACGTAACATTTAGCATTTAGGATTTGTAAAAGTTAAGTACGGTACCTAATTGTATCTATTAACAGGTAGTTAAATTGTTATCGCATGAAAACCTAAGCAGAGATGTATTTACAAGTGAGAGATTTTCCGACGGCAATGGCACGCGGGGTGGCTCTCTGGACCTTCTTACTTCATACTTGAGTGACAGGCTTTAGAGAGGCGAAGTAAACGGAAAGGTTTCTGCCGGATCTGTTATCAAGATGGGTGTTCCGCAGGGATCGATTCTCGGCCCGTTTTTTTTTTCAATTTATTATTCCAGTGTAAGTCTCATAACTCATATGCACATACGTATACCACATTCATAGCTAGAGGGGAAGGATACTGATCTTGTATCTGTATTATGTACCGCATTATCAACAGCATATGAGAATTCACATCTAGACTAAGTGAACCACCTCTTCAAAAGAGAGATGTGCTATGGTCTCCACGCCTGGCGTGAAAAGGAGAAGTGTAATAGATAACGGTGCTACTCGGACTTTTTAATTATAAAGTCCCTTATTACGGTAGCTTCGGCCTATCTGAAACCTATCTGAATCCAAAATAATTTCACTAATGTTCGACTGTTACTCAACTTTCACGACACACACACGAGAAGACTAAAGCTGGTGACGAATTTATTCTACTCTGCCGTCACGACGCAGTAATAATAGGTCTTACCTATGTAAAATTATAACAGGAAAATCATAGACAATAATAGCAGTTTTGAACTTACCTTATATAATAACCTGATATAACGCACACGTCACAGCGGCTGTCTGGAAGGTTATTAGTGAATATATAATTATATGCGTTCGCGTATGCTTTTATAGTGTCTACATTTTGGAGACCCAATTCCTCCCCTCCCCAATCTCCCAATCCTCAAATTCCTAATCCCCAAAGGCCGGGAACACACTTGTAACTCCTTTTGTGTTCCGGGTGTCCATGGGCGGCACTGATTGCTTACCATCAAGTGATTCGTCTGATCGTTTGCCAGCCTATCTACATACTCTATATCATTACCTATTATGTTTTTCTGTAGGAAGCTTATACCAATTAATGTCTTAATTGAATAAATCGATGAATTACGAGTTCCTGTTCAAATATTTCTACCGGTAAGGCCTACTGTTCATAGAATGCATGCATGCAAAACGATACCGTTGCCATTACGCCGATAGTTTGTTTATGAAGCACGCATGCATTCGTCAAATGACGCAACGAGGATAGTGCAGTGACTCAAAGTCAGTCCGGTAAGACTCATGTGCTATTTTGGTTTAGTGTCTTGTTGTAAACCTATATTTAAAGTTTATCCCAATTTATTTAGTTTACAATACAAAAATGGTATGGGGCGACCAACGAGCAGACTAATCGCCTGATGGTAAGCAATCGACACCACCTATGGACACTTTTAACACTAGTGGAGTTACACGTAAATTTGTAAACGCAAAGCAAGCGTTGTTTCCACAGAAATTATTGTATCTATGGTTATTTCACACCGTTTGTTTGTGATGCCATTGTACGACTCCAGTCGAGCCGGCCTGTTTGTGCCGAAACATGCTCTGCCATATTTGAATAAAAATAATTCAAAGTGTTATTATTGATATTTCAATTTCAAAATCTCGACTGACTCGTTTTTAGTTGAATAAGAGCAAGTTCAACTTTTGGATTCCCGCCACAAAGTTTATCTTAATAGCAAGTCCAACGTAGTTGACAATTAACCAATTCCAATACATTTATGGAAAATTCAAAAATACTTTTCTTATAAATTTTGTATTGGGATCACAGTGTCGCTACGTCATCGCATTAATAACTAACTACCTACTCCCCCGCGGCTGGGCTTCTAGTCATCGTAGCGGGATGTTTATTGTGTTTTATCACCTATATAGTAGATAGAAATAAAATATGGTTTAGTGACAATTTCTTCTACCGGTAGGGGAAGGGGGAATCCACAGATCTTTGAAATTGCTACGCGTAACTTTTGTTCCAGTGGTCGAGCGTCAGATATTGATAGTGTACATGCTCCATGTGTCTCTGATAATGAAAAACTCTTAATCTGCCAGTATGCAAGGTGGGGTAGAATGTTCTGGACTCTTGCAAATCCAGCTCGGATGGCCAGATTTTTGAAACGCACTTCCATTGGCATGCTGCTATCGATCTCGCTTCCGTTAATCTGACGAATCTAACTTTATTTAGTCATATTTTTTTTAATTTCTTAGTCCAGGGGGGGGCCCCTTCAATTCAGAACGTACATATGGTGAATATATTCAATATGACACCAGCTTTTTCCCATATGTTAATCTGCTGCGCTGGAATAACTACCGAAATCCCTTAATGGGCTCCCCTACTAATACTATTTATCGAGGAGGCTATAGGGCCTATAGCCATAGCATAGATAAATATTTTTTTACATCGCATATCAGTCAACGCCATCTCACATCAAAGTATAATAATTGAAAACACTAGGTTCCTTCGGTCACACACCACATACCTCTAGATGTCGCTGTAATACCACATCTGTTAGGTTATTTTGTAAGATGTTAATTCGAACTCTCATGTGAGCTCGATCGTGATTCGGCGTTTGGGGTGCTCCAGAGTCGAGTGCCCCTCCGCCCCCGGTTACTTTGCCACTGCGTGGAGTTATAATGGACGATCTCTGCCTCTACTATTCTTCTTCGGAGAATAAAAAGAAACAGTCAACACGGTGGATGTGTGCAATTACCTCTATTTATCTATATTATTATATATTATTATATATATTTATCTATATTACGATATTCACAATCGCTGATAACAACTAACAGTCTCACAAACATAAGAGCTATAATAATAGGTTAGTAGATATGAAGATGAAGTATTCACATCCTAGGAAAAACCTACAGTTATTTGGTAAAGTGTCTGACAGACACCACTATCATACTAAGTCAGCCAATTTCGAGATTAGCGAAAGTAAGTAAGTCGTTCATGGGATTCTGTGTTAAATGTTATAATAAGATACCAGGCGATGTACAACAACCAAATGAATCCAAATTTAAATTATGTATAAAGAAAACTTTATGTACCTCTAGACAAGCATATTACAAACTTAATGAATATATAGAGGATAAAAATGCTTGGATGCAGGCTAGTCCGGCTTCACAGGATAACTAAAAACACTGATGTTTTAATGAAATCGTAAATAATACAGCCATATTGCCAAATTGTATATTGTTTAACTTATATAACCAATGTTAATGTGAGAGCCCTGTAATTTAACTTAATATTAAATTAGATTAGTAGAATTCATTTGTGTCAGCTTGGAGTTGTCATGCTCACTCAAAGGTCTCATTGGCACGTGCAGTGGTTCGCTCGATTCCCTACAATATGGTTGAGTTGGGCGGTGCTGGTGTACGTGTCATGTTCGTGAACGGGTGCCGTCAACTGGGACTGGTCAGCTTCAGACTGTATTATTGTCCTTAAGGTTATTTTCTTTTTTGATCACTTTGACTGGACTTTAGTGTTACATTGTTCTCACACAATCCAAACAGCAAAACTGTGTAAATAGTAAATTGTATTGTGAACCTGATTGAAAAAGAGTAACCTATGGAGTTTTTTGCTCGTTCTTCTCCATAAGAATTGGAATGAGCAAATAGCTTCACTTTTAATATTTTTTTTTTTGACGTTCAAAAGTGCCATTCTGGCCTAATTGAAATAAATGATTTTGACTTTGACTTGACTTTGACCTACTTCCTACTATCTTCTTCTATATCAATAATTTGGTCAAGGTGTACGGTAGACTCAATCGAAACATTACCTGAATAACAAAACATAAAAAAATATCGATTACGAGTCGACAACATAATTATATCCGCAAAATTCGGATTACGGATATTATTTCGTTTTATTAATTCATTTTAATGACACTGACAGATTAACCGCAGTCGCCATATTGAGTAGACAATAAACATTCAATACGCCTCGCCAATCAACACGTTGTCTCGTCAAAAAAGTATAAATTAACAAGAAATATGAGTAATTTCACGCGAACGAAGTCGCGGGTAACAGCTAGTAATATTAAAAATACGATAGTTTGTGAGGATGTGAGTGTGTGTGTTACACTTTCACGTCAAAAGGACTGAAGGGATCGAGATGATATTTGGAACAACGGTCTAGAATAACACACGGGCCACTTTTTATTATACAGGAACGCGGGCGAACCCGTTAACAGAAGCTAGTCATTTATATATTATTAATTTATACATATTATCGTACATTGATTTTTATATATTATCAGTATTGGATTATACATAATTTCAAGAAAATCGTTGCAGCCCTCTCCAAGATCTTTGACACATAAACCTACATATAATTTAAGAAGTGCTCGTTTAAAAGTTAGGTATATGTACACGATATCGTCCATTTGTACCAAATAAAGAAAAACCAAAGCACAAAGATTCAATAACATACTTTAAAATTAAAAGTATACACTGATTTTATAAATTTTTAATTTATTGTATTATTTCATTAAAAGTTATAACCAAAATTATAATGTAGTTGACTACTGCGAATCTATTTACTACGCTATTATTCGGGGTTTCGCTGTATCGAGTAACAGGAGTAGTGGCAACTAGGTCACCTAAATCGCTAGCAGTCATATTTTTGTATTTCATTAACAACTCCAGAACCAAACTGCTCGACCATCCGAAACCAACCTGTGAAGGGCATCTACCACCATCACCACATTCCCCGATT